TGAATATAAAATGGGCCAAGGAACTGAATAGACATTTTTCCAAAGAAGACCTATAGATGGACAACAGGCACATGAAAAGATGCTCAAATCACTAATCATCAGGGAAAAGGAAGCCAAAATCACAGTGATACATCGCCTCACACCTGTCAGGATGCCTATCGTCAAAAAGACAACAAGTAACAAGGGTTGGTGAGGATGTGGAGAAAAGGGAACACTTGCACACTGTTGGTGGGAATGTAATTTGTGCAGGCACTGTGGAAAACATCAATGGAAATTCCTCAAAAAATTAAAAATAGAACTACCATACAATGCAGTAATTCTACTCCTGGGTATTTATTCAAAGAAAACAAAAACACTGATTAGGAAAGATAATACACCCCTATGTTCATCACAGCATTATTTACAATAGCCAAGATATGGAAGCAACCTAAGTGTCCATCAATGGATGAATAAAGAAGATGTGGTGTGTGTGTGTGTGTGTGTGTGTGTGTGTGTGTGTGTGTGTGTGTGTGTATACAATGGAATATTACTCAGCTATAAACAAAGAAAAAAAAAGAAATGAAGCTTGTTATTTGCAACAGTATGGTAAACCTAGAGGATATTAAATTAGGTGAAATTAGTCAGAGAAAAACAAAGACTGTATGATTTCACTTACATGTGGAATCTAAAAAACAAGACAAATGAAACATGACAAAACAGAAAGAAAGTTATTTACAATGAACAAACAATTGGTTGCCAGAGGGAAGGGGGATAGGGGAGGAAAGAAACACATGAGCTACAAACTTCCAGTTGCAAAATAAATGAGTCACAGGTATGGAATGTACAGTGTGGGGAATATAGTCAATAACTATGTTATCTTTGTATGGTGACATATTATAACTAGACTTATCATAGCGATCATTTTGAAATGTGGAGAAATATTGATTCATTATGTTCTGTAACAGGAACTAACATTGTGTTGTAGGTCAATCATACTTCAGAAACAAACTAACAAACTCAGAGAACAAAGCCATGAGATTTGTGGTTACCTTGAGGTGGAGGGAGAGGGATTGGATGAAGGTAGTCAAAAGATACAAAGCTCCAGTTATAATAAGTACGAGGGCTGTACTGCACAGCGGGCAGAATGTAATTAACATCGCTCAATGTTATACATAAAAGTTTTTAAGAGAAAATCCCAAGAGTTCTCATCACAAGGAAGAAGTTTTGTCTATTTCTTTAATTTTTTATCTGTATAAGATGATGGATGTTCACTAAACTTACTGCGGTAATTATCTCATGATGTATGCAAGTCAAATCATTATGTTGTACATCTTAAACGTATACAGTCCTTCATATAAGTCATACATCAATAAAAATGGAAGAAAAAATAAAGTAAGTGAAATTGCATAGTGTCGGTAATACGGCTTCAAAATAATTAAGCACTGATGGTGCTGAAGTGGGGAGAAGGGAGGGAACATAGCTGAAACAAGACTGTCTTGCATCTTTTTTGAAGCTGGGGTTTCATTGCATAATTTTCTCTACTTTAATGTATATTTGTATTTTTCCATAATAAACGTTTAAAAAGAAGAGACACTATTAAAGAGGGAAAAGACAGCCCAGAGTGAAGGAAGATGTCTGTAACACACAGAACCAGAGAAGGGGCCTGTCCTCAAATGTATAAAGAACACCTATATAGCAGTAAGAAGGCGACGGTGAACTCTACAGAAAAATGAGCAGAAACGTGAAAATGTCCAAAAGAGAATACCCAAATGCTAATAAAGATATGAAAAAGATACTCGTTTAATCAGTAATCAAGGTGTTAGAAATTAAAGCCACAGTTTAATACTACACACCCAGTAATACAAGTAAGCTATCATTCGTTCAAATACATATAAAACCCCCCTTCAGATACATATGCAAACCAGAATGAGAGGCCCTCAGGCTCTGCCCAGTACCCTAATACGGTGGCCCCGTGTAGACTGCACAGACGGACAACACCCAGTGATCCTGAGGATGCACTGTAGCTACAACCCTTAAGCACAGCTGGTGGGAGGGAGTATGGCACAACTGGTTTGGAAAACGGTTTGGTGGCATCTACCTAACTTGAGAACATGGCTAATCCTATGACCCAGCAATTCCATTTCTAAGCATATATTCACAAAAATGTGTGTTTGTGTGTGTGTTTCCAAAGGTCAAGACATTTAGATGGCAGCATAAGAACACTATTACATTTTACATTTGGGAGAAGGGAGGGGTACTGATTGTCAGGGGACAGGATGGGGCTTTTGTGCTGGAGCAATATTCTATTTCTGGACCTGGGTGGTGATTATACAAGTGTGTGAACTTTGTGATATGAACTACTGAATTATATCCTGGAATTTTTGTGTGTGTGTGTGTGGGGGGGTTGCATGCAAATTGTACTTCAGTGAAAGATGTCTGTTAAAACAAAAGAATGATCAGGGCTAGGAGAGGGAATTCTGATAAAAGAAAAAGTCATTTTAGTGTAGGAGAATTATGGATGAAATTGTAAAAATCTTGCTTTGGTTTGGCTGTTACAATAAACAAAATTTCGTTGAGAGGAAAAAGTAACTTAGCCTTTGTTCGAATACACATATCAACTGGAGATGGAGGCCCTTGAGTTCTTTTTGAGGACCATAACAAATTCCATTAGAAAAAAAATTAAAGTTAGTGTTCTTATAGCCCCAAAGAGAGCCTCGCTCAAAGAGCTGTGAACTTCTAATTTTGAATAATACAATTTCTAGGCACAGCCTCAAAAAAACAAACAAACAAAAAACCCAAAACCTGCTACACTATATATCTAAATAATTGAATGAGGTAATGAACTATAATCCAATTAAATGTTAGGAGAAAACTACCAATAATAACTCTAGTTTTGAAAGAATTGCCCTTTCTAACAGTAATTTAACCACTAAGGGTCAATGCCTTATTAAGGACATTCTGAGTTCCCACGATAAAACCATGTCATCTGCATATAAAAGATTTTTTATCTCTCTCTTCTCTCCAGTGGGAAGCATTCCACATCTGGTTAGTAGAAGAATAAAATTTGTGAGATGTGACGTTCTCTGTTCCTTTCATGGGAAGATTCTGGGTGGCGGAGGGTTTTGGCTTTGCTCCTCACCTTTGGAAATATTTCCTTTTAAAACTGTCTTTGTAACAAGAAAATTCCAGTTTAAATCTTATAAATTATGATATGTCCTTTTTTCCCTCTCCTTTTAAAACTATCACATGGCTTAAACTGGGTGCGTGGGGCTGGGTGGGAAGGATGGGCTTTACCTCATGTAACAGGAATCCTGTCTTCACCTGAGCCTGGCCGCAATGCTATCTTATCTTGTTTTGCTTGGACTTGTCCCAAGGACCCAGGCAGGGTCTATAAACCTAACACCAAGAATCATGTGTAGTTAGTGTAACTTTGAAGAGGGATACTGTAATTCCCTTCTGGTATCATATTAATTTTCTTCTAGTATCATACTAATTAAAAACTCCCATTTGATAACCTAAAAGCCTTGGAAGTTTGAGAAAGCTCTTCCTTTACCCTCTTCTCTTCCATGATCTTTACACAACAGAAAAGGAAACAGTACTGGACCGGGAGCGGGAAAGCGCAGGCTCCTGTCTTGACTTTGCTGTTAACTTAATCTCTTTGAGCTTTAGATTCCTCAACTGTGCATAATTAATATCCCTTGCTTCAGAGTTATTACATTTTGAAAAGTGTAAAACAGAATGTGAATATAGACTAACATCATTATATAATTGGTAGTAACTGTTATCCTTAGGTTGCCATCTAAATATAAAAAAAGATAAAGTTTATAATACAGTGGTGCTTAACGCTTGTAAAGAATATAGGGAAATGAGGTCAGAAAGACTAGGAATGGAAAAATAAACACATTGGTACTTATAAAAGGATAAAAAAGGGCCAACTTGCGTAAAAGGTCAATACAATCTTTTAAATTATGTTTCTAATTGTGTCACACACTCTCATTCTTGATGTAGTGGGCATCTGGTGTTATTTATTTATTTATTTATTTCTGCCTTATAACCTGCCCTCTTCTGGCAACAGCAACCTCTTTCCTTGGAGACCTGCTTTTTCCTAAGCTCCATGGTTTTCTGAATCACACTAGTCTATTCACCTGGCTAGGGGTGGGTATGCTCAGGAATCTGCAGTGATTCAAGCCAGGGGAATCAGCATCCTTCCCTGAAACTGATTGTGCAGATTCTGATAGGGGGAAATCTCTTTTCTTTGGAGTTCTTAGTGCAATTTTTAAAAATTCGGAGCTCCTTTGTACAATAATCAACTACATTCCCTCATCCCACCGTTCTTACAGCATAGAGGCACTCGTGATTGGGTGCTAATACCATCTTCTGAGGGATCTGAACTCCTTTCTCCCACACCTCCACATTTTTCATGTAAGTACCACATTTGTTTACTACATAATGGTGTTTCCAAGCAGTTAAGAACATGTATTAAAGGGCTCTGAAATTTTTTGTAAAAACAGGGCAACTGGAAGTAAAAGAAAATCTCACACACTTTCACTTAAAAAAATACTAAATCTATTTAAGCAACAGTGGCTTTTCCAGGTACCTAAAATACTCAATTTGTTATAATCAAACTCTAATTAGTGTTTAAATTTCTCAAATTGTCTTAAAAATGTGTTTTAACTTTTGGTTTGTTTGAATCAGGATTCAAACAATGGAGCAAAATTTTTAATCATCAAGCACACTGGCTGGTTATGTTTTTACCTCTCTTCAAAACAGGTGTCTCCTTGTCACTGTAACACACTCTCACGATGAGCAATGGATTTAGAAATTAATTCAAACTTGCTTTACATGCTCTACAAATACCAGTTGAGGTTCTGCTAATGAAATTGTGGGGCAGGCAAGCATTAGTAATAGCTTGAATTTACCCTTGGACATGAGAACCCAAAAGGGGGCAATGACAAGGAAGACATTTATTTTTTTAAACTCTTTTTTTGGGGGGAGGTAATTAGGTTTGTTTGTTTATTTAATGGAGGTACTGAGGATTGAACCCAGGACCTCCTGCACGATAAGCACGTGCTCTACCACTGAACTATACCTTCCCCTGCAAGGAAACATTTATGTGGACTTGCTGCCTTTGAGATCTCCTTAGGGTGGAAAACAAAAGGAGACCCATGGTTTGGTTTGCCAATACCTAATAAAATATTGAAAATTTATATGGCAAATGCATTAATATGTGTATTTAAACACAGTTACTAACTGGACAGCAGCATGTAAATCAGTGAAGCTAGAACACTCCCTTACACCATACATAAAAATAAACTCAAAATGGATCAAAGACTTAAACATAAGACAAGATACAATAAACCTCCTAGAAGAAATTATAGGCAAAACATTATCTCACATACAACTCAAAAATGTTCTCCTAGAACAGTCTGCTCAAGCAATAGAAATAAAAGCAAGAATAAACAAATGGGACCTAATTAAACTCATAAGCTTCTGCACAGCAAAGGAAACCATAAGTAAAACAAAATGACAACCTATGGAATGGGAGAAAATTTTTGCAAATGAAGCCTACAAAGGCTTGATTTCCATAATATATAAGCAGCTCATATGACTTAATAAGAAAAAAACAAACAACCCAATCCACAAATGGGCAGAAGACCTAAACAAGCAGTTCTCCAAGGAAGACATACAAATGATCAATAGGCACATGAAAAAATGCTCAATATCACTAATTATCAGAGAAATACAAATCAAAACTACAATGAGGTATCACCTCATACCAGTCAGAATGGCCATCATTCAAAAGTCCACAAATGAGAAATGCTGGAGAGGCTGTGGAGAAAAGGGAACCCTCCTACACTGCTGGTGGGAATGCAGTTTGGTGCAGCCACTGTGGAAAACAGTATGGAGATTCCTCAAAAGACTAGGAATAGACTTACCATACGACCCAGTAATCCCACTCCTGGGCATATATCCAGAAGGAACCCTACTTCAAAAAGACACCTACACCCCAATGTTCATAGCAGCACTATTTACAATAGCCAGGACATGGAAACAGCCTAAATGTCCATCAACAGATGACTGGATAAAGAAGTTGTGGTATATTTATACAATGGAATACTACTCAGCCATAAAACCCGACAACATAATGCCATTTGCAGCAACATGGATACTCCTGAAGAATGTCATTCCAAGTGAAGTAAAACAGAAAGAGAAAGAAAAATACCATATGAGATCGCTCATATGTGGAATCTAAAAAACCCCGCAAAACAAAAAACATACAAAATAGAAACAGACTCATAGACATAGACTACAAACTGGTGGTTGCCAGAGGTACGGGGAGTGGGAAGGGACAGACTAGGAAAATTTCAAAATGTAGACTAGATAAACAAGATTGTACTGTGTAGCACAGGGAAATATATACAGGATCTTGTGGTGGCTCACAGTGAAAGAGAATGTGACCATGAATGTATGTTCATGTATAACTGAAAAGTTGTACTCTACATTGGAATTTGACACATTGTAAAATGACTATAACTCAATAAAAATCTTAAAAAAATAGTTATTAAAAACATCTGTAGCTTTATGTACATAACTGACATCCTTATCTTTGTCCTTTATGCCCTCATTTGTTCCCAAGTACAGTCAAGGACTGGGATAGACTGTCACTCCCATAGGTATAAATGAGTATATTTATTTTGCTTTAACGCAAACGCAAAAGGAGTTAAAACTTTGTTACCTACAGCTCCACAACTTTCTTCATTCAAAGAGTAGCTGCCAAAGGGTGAGGAGTTAGACTTGGAGCCATGCATGCATAATCTCCACGCATCTCATGAAATGAATTAACCATATACTTGCTAAGCAAGCTCACGATTTTGACAAGTCCCCTAGCCCCTCCCCCCCAAAGACCACTGTGGTCCTACTAGAGCCATCACTGACGCCAACCATAGTAACCATGAAATCTACTTATTTCATTATTTCACATCCCCACTATCCTTGTCTTAAATGGGACTACTGGATCCAAAACCAGGTTATGCCCCCCACCCCTACCCCACACCGTGTATTTATTATTCTCACTTTACTGTCAAGATCTTGAAAAGTTAAAATAAAAAAATCCGTCTCAGAGCATCCATTATCTACACCCACTTTGCTTGGGTACTCCAAAGGTTTAAAACCCGCCGCCCTCGGCCATCCACTTTCACAGCACCCTCCCTTCGCTTCTTTGCTTGTCGTATCAGCACTGGGTAAGTGCCCAGGTTCTGCGCTCGGACTAAACCTCATGATCTTCTGGCTCAGGTTCTGTGAACTGAGTCATCCTGGCACCGAGAATATTCCGTGACTCAGCAGGCCCGAAAAGGAGGATGTCAGATCCAGATAATTTCAAGTCTTTTAAAGGCAAGCTGGGGAACATAAACAACACAGTGGAAGAATTTCACAGTGGGTCTGCGTACCCAGGGGAAAAATGTCATTCCATTCCCAGACTTTTCACTTCCTTCCTTGCCCGGGCTAAACGACTGGTTACACTTTAATTCAGAGGCAGGAAACCGCTTCAGAAAATTCATTTCGATGGGGTGACCAGGCCCTTTATTCTTCGGGGGCCGTGCCAGTCCCCTCAACACCCGGGACCTCTCCTCTGAAAGCGCAG